AGGCTAAAGAGCCCTTCTCAGAGCCCTACCCCGCATCCCCACTTTCTGGATACTAATCTTATTGGTTGCTAGCACCAAGTTTTGGGCTGTGTTGTAAGGAATCACCCAGCTATGGCTGCTTTTTGCTATCATTTCCCCCTTTGTCATGAACATGTTATAAAGACAGCAAGAGAGAAAAGGTTGTTTGTTTTATGGAAACTATTATTAGAGATACTTGTGTTAGGGTTATGAACTAAGGTCTGGGATAAAGGGGAAATTTAGAATTTTTGCAAAAACAACAGTTCTCAAATCTGGGGTTGTGTGTCATAATGGGAAGAGATGGGCTCTAGCCCGGGCTCTGTCACAGCTATATGATTCAATGATAATCCATTCATTCATTCATTCAGTATTTTTGGAGTACCCACTCTGTGTGAGACACTGTGTTCAGCACTGCAGCCACGTTGTGAGGAATAGATAAAGAACCTGTTCTCCAATCACACAACTTCTCCGAATCCCATTTCTTTATGTTTGCAGTGTGCGGGCTGCACTACAATGAGCTCTCAGCGACCCCTGCCCCTGCTTCTTGATTCTTTTCTGTGGGAGCAAAATGTGCCTGTAAGAACAGTAACAGGAAAAGTGGTACCAATATTATATGCCAGACATTATGCTAACTAATCACTTTTATATGTATTGCCTCATTTTGTTTTCTCAAGAATTTCCTAAAATAGGTATTATTAGGCTCATTTTCCAGATGAGAAAACTAAGAGTGGAGAGGTTGAGCTGCCTTTTGCTATAAGCAAGGAAGAGGCAGAGTCAGACTCAAACCCAGCTCAGCTGACTCGAAACCCAGCATTCTTCTCTCCTCTTCTGTTCATGTTTTAGAAAGCTCATTCATCTCCCCTGGACTTTGCTCTGGGAGTACTTATAAAAATTTTACTCAAGAATCTTATTCATCCCAAGAGTGATCCTGCACTTCAGCCAAGACCATCACTCCCACTGCTTTGCCTCCATTTGTGCTTACCTTCCACCTGGAATCCTTTTCTATATTGTCTGTGCCAAACTCTGCACCCTTTCAGACTTTATCTTACTCCTAAATTTAATTCATTCATCCCCTCATAGTTGTCCAACACAGTAGGAAATTCAAAAAAGAGTCCCTGAGCATATCTTTGAAGGACAGTAAGACACACACAGATTGCAGGAAGAGTTATAGCCTGAAATAAAGAGTAATGGGCTATTTATTAGTTAGTGTTTCCTTGCAAGGAGAGGTCTGTGGTAGGAGATGATTCAAAAACTGTCCAAGGGCTTCCTTACGCTACCTTTTCCCCAAAGATGCCTCTTTCTGTTTCTCTCTCTCTCTCTCTTTTTCTGATTATACAGTGTCACTGTAGAAAATCTGAAAACTGTCTACTCTTCAGAGATAATCGAGATAATCATTATTAGCATTTGGTGTATTTCCTTCTATGATGGTTAATTTTATGTCACCTTGGCTAGGCTATAGTGCCCAGTTGTTTGGTCAAACACCAGTCTAAATGTTGTTGCAAAGCTTTGTTGTGTTTTTATTTTCAAGATGTGATAAACATTTAAATCAGTAGACTTTTAGTAAAGTGGACTACCCTCTGTAATGTGTGTGAACTTCAGTAAGTTGAAGATCTTAAGAACAAAGACTGAGGTCTCCTGAAGAGGAGGCATTCTGCCGTAAGACTTGCAATGTAGAAATTCTGAGTTTCTAGCCTACCAGCCTGCTATACCAATTGCCGGCCTGACAATCACATGGGAAATTCCTTATAATACATCTTTCTGTCTGTCTCTTTCTCTCTCCATATCTATATATATCTATATCTATCTATCTATCTGTCTGTCTATCTATCTATCTATCTATCTATCTATCTATCTATCTGTATATATTTGTGTGTGCATGTATGTGTATATGCATATATACTTGAATGTAGGTATGTCCTATTGGTTCTGTTTCTCTGGAGAACCCTGACTGATATACTTTCTTTTTATTCATTTCCTCTTGATTAGCACTTTTCAAACTGTCATGTCTGTGTGTGAATCATCTGTGTGTGAATAACTTGTCTTACTCAAGTGCAGCCTCTAAGTCAGTGGTGGTGGGCTAAGATTCTGTATTTTGAACAAGCTCCCACGTAATACCTATGCTGCTGGTCTATGGACCACATTTTGTGTAGCAAGGCCTTATATGATCAACTTTTTCTTTTAAATTGTATCATGAGCTCAGTTACCCTCCTGAAACATTAACTTGTAACTGTATTGCACTCCATCATATGAATTGCCATAAATTAGATACATTCAGGCTTTAGAAACATAAAGGCTATTTATAAAAATTGTCCAAGTATAATCTCACCCAAAGGCCTGGCTTCTGTAGCACAATAGAAAAATAGTAGAAATGTAGAAAAATTGTCAAAATGTAATCTCACCCAAAGAACTGGTTTCTGTAGCAAATCAGGCCTGCATGCTCAGTCCCTGGTTTCAAGGGCTTCCCTTTGCTTTTTTTTTCTTTACTTTTTATTTCAATAGCTATGAAAATTCCCTTGGCTTTTGTCTGAGTGCTCATATTATTAGTAACTGCTGGGAAGGGGAACCTACTGAATAGACATGGTTTTCAGAAGTCATTCATACATTCTTCCATTTATTCATGTAATAATATTACTCAGTTATCTCATCAGTTGATGTTATAGGCACCATGCTGGGAACTGTGTACAGGGGATTCATTTAATAAGTAATCAATTATAAAATGAATATAATTGTAGTTACAATAATTACATGGTGATGTAAGTATATAACATGAAACTGGTCTAATTTAAGGGTCAGGGACACTTCCTATGGAAGTGACATTTCAGTTGAGCTCTGGTTGTCTGGGGATGTGCCACTCAGTTCCCTAACTTTTGGCTAGTCCTTTTTGAATAGGTGGAGGCTCTGATGACAGAATCTTGGAAGTCACCTTTAGTGAGAGGTGGCACACATGAAGTCTCCAAAGATCTCCCTAGAGGTTCATTGTAGCTGCTGCTCCTCATTCTCCCTGTCAGGCTCTTATGGAGATGACTCTCCAAGGGAGTTCCCCTTCTGTCTGCTCCTGGGCAGCATCTCAGTTTCCCTCTGCTGAATCTGAACACAATCTGATTTCCCATCCATCTCCATTTGTTACAGGAGATGCAGCCTAAATAACAAGTTATTGTAAGGTGATTTATCATAGGCAAATATTTTTATCTTTGAATCAGTCATTATTTCGACCACTCTCTGCCACTGCTCTTTCCATTAACATGGATAATGATAGTTGAAAAGAAATTGGTACTGCAAAGCTACAGTAATCAAAACAATATGGCACTGGCAGAAGGATAGACATAGAAGAATGGAACAGAATTGAGAGTTGAGAAATAAATCTATACATTTATGGCCAATTGATTTTTGAAAAGGGTGTGGAGACCATTCAGTGAGGAAAAGAATACTCTCTTCAACAATTGGTGCTGGGCCAATTGTATATCCACATAAAAAAAGTGAAGTTGGATCCCTACCTCATACTATATATGAAAATTAACACAAATGGCCGATACCCTAAATATAAAAACCAAAATAATTAAACTCTTTCGAAGGAAAAATAGGGGTTGAATCTTCACAACCTTGGATTTGGCAATACATTCTTAAATATGACACCAACAGCATGAACAACAAACAGAAATAGATCAACTGAACTTCATCAAGCTTAAAAGTGTTTATGTATCAAAGCACATTATTTTAAAAATGAGAAGACAACCTACAGAATGGAAGATAATTTCAAATCATACATCTAATAAGGACTTGGTATCCAGAATATATGAAGAACTCTTACAATTCAACAACAAAAAGACAACCCAACTAAAAAAAATAGGCAAATAACTTCAATAGACTTTCCCCAAAGAATATATACAAATGGGCAAGTACATGAAAAGATACTCATATCATTATTCATTAAGGGGATGCAAATGAGGTACCACTTCAAGCCCACAAGGAAATTTGTTTCGATGGGAAATAAGTGTTGGTGATGTGGAGAAATTGGAACCCTTATAGATTGCTGGTGGGTATGTAAAATGGTGCAGCCACTGTAGAAAACATTTTGGTGGTTCCTTAAAAAGTTAAGCATAGAATTAGCATATGACCCAGCAATTCTACTCCTAAATAGCCAAAAGAATTGAAACCTGATATTTAAACAAATAGATATACATAGTCAAAATATTTAAAAGATGGTGACAATCCAAATATTCATTAACAGATTAATGGATTTTCAAAATGTGGTTTTTCCACTGAGTAGGAATAAAAATTATTCATCATAAAAATTATTCATAAAAAGGATTGAGGTGTTCATACATGGTATAATGTAAATGAACCTCAAAAACATTACACTAAGTGAAAGAAGCCAGGAACAAAAGGCCATATATTATAAAATTCCATTTATATGAAATATTCAGAATAGGTAAATTTACAGAGACAAAACACAGATTAATGATGCCAGGGGCCAGGAGGAAAGAGTATAGGTAGCAATTGCTTCATGGATACAGGGTTTCCTTTTGGGTGATGAAAATGTTTTAGAACTACATATAGGTAGGTGCTGGTTGCACAACATATGAATAATTAAATAACTTATATAAGTGGTTGTTTTTTTAAATTAAAAAAAAATCTTTTTTTAAAGAGACAGGGTCTTGCTGTGTTGCCCAGGCTGGCTTTGAACTCCTGGCTGAGGCGATCCCGTTGTTTCAGACTCCCAAGTTGCTGAGACTACAGGCATGCACCACTGTGCCTGGTTTAAGTGACTTATTTTTTGTTATATAAATTTTACCTCAATAAAATATTAAAAAATAAAGTAATCAAGACTAGATTCTTTCCCTCTTGTGTCTGCCATATTTCATGGTTAATTTAAAAATTTTAAAACACAGTAACACATTTATGACATATCTTTGGTTATTACTACCTTGGGTTTCTATCATGCCAATGCATTCTCTCATTATTTTCTACTCTGTGCAATTCAGATTTCAGTCCAAGGCTTCAGGTACATTGCAAACAGCTGTACTGGAATTCTTCATCTTACCATTAATGACATGCCAACTCTGACGGACAACTGTGTAAAAGTAGGTAGTTGGAAAGTACGTTTTCTTTTCTGTCCTATAAGATGGATATATATTCTAATGGCTCGAATTACTGAAAATTATGAATGGACTTTTCACTTTAGTTATTTTTAAAATAGTAATACAGTCATTTAAAAGTTTTCACACACTCACATACCCTTGAAAACATTTGAATTCTTAAGTATCCTAAGGCACCTTATTTCACATTTAGGATTTTTTTTAGTGATGTTATAGCCTAAGCACAAACTTTGAGTTTAGTTCTCCATGTTAAGCTGCCAAATGTAGTAATTTTTTTCAGTAGTCAATTTCTCATGTTTTCTCATACTCTTAGTACATGATTTAGTTCTGATTTCTCCACATTACTCAAATGTAAGTGTAAACATGATTGAAAAATCGAATTTTCTTTGAAATTAGGAAAATTAATAGTTAACATGTCTGTTTCTAATATATTGAAGGAAAAAATGACTTTATTACCTTGCTAAACCTGTTCTGAACACTTGATTAATGTAATCATTTTTTCTTCTGAAGGCTTTAGTTGAAAAGTGCTCTCATATTACATCGATGGTTTTCACTGGTGCACCGCATATCTCTGATTGTACTTTCAAAGCTCTGTCTACTTGTAAACTCAGAAAGATCCGATTCGAAGGTCTGTTATTTTAAAAACGTGGTTCTGCATTATCATTTACTTTTACTCTTATGGCATTACAAATACAATACTTGTCTTTGCTTCTCTGTTTTGAAAACAGGAAATAAAAGGATTACTGATGCATCCTTCAAATTTATAGACAAGAATTATCCAAATCTCAGTCACATTTACATGGCTGACTGCAAGGGAATAACAGACAGCAGCCTCAGGTCCCTTTCACCTTTGAAGCAATTGACTGTGTTGAATTTGGCAAACTGTGTAAGGTAATGAATCATTCAGTCATACATTCAAGAAACATTGATTATCTAGTATGTGCCAGGTCCTCTCTAAGGAACTTATGGTTTGTGGTGTAAACATGAAAGTCAGGAGTCCAGGAGTTAATGTAGAGGTAAGCACAGAGTTCTGTGATTATAAAAAAGAGGGACTCCCAACCCAGGCTGATTTTATGGGGGGAAGGGAGAGCTCAGGATATGGGGAATTATGGACCCTTGTAAAATTAAGGAAACTCAAAGTAATACTTATGGGTTACCTTTCCTACTGAGGGTTCCCATAGCTAGTTTAGTTAACAGGACCTTTTCCCATATGGACTTTCTGACTTGCTTATGAAGAAACAGTCTCACTGAAGGTTTTCCTTTTGGGTACTGGTTAGATTTTTCCTCGGTGTAGAATTTCTGACAAATGGACAAAGGGTGAGTTCTTACTGAAATCCTTTCTTTGGCTGGGCCACTATTGGACTACTCTCCTGGTATTCTCAGGATCAAATTCTTTTTTTTTTTTTTTTTCTTTTAGATGGAGTCTCATTCTGTCACTCTGGTTGGAGGGCAGTGGCACGATCTCAGCTCATTGCAACCTCTGCCTCGTGTACTCTAGTGATTCTCCAGCCTCAGCCTCCTGAGTAGCTGGGATTACAGTGTGTGCCACCATAGCTGGCTAATTTTTGTATTTTTAGTAGAAACAGCGTTTCACCATGTTGGCCAGGCTGGTCTCGAATTCCTGACCTCAAGTGATCTGCCTGCCTCAGTCTCCCAGAGTGCTGGGATTGCAGGCATGAGCCACCACACCCAGCCAAGGATCAAGAGGTTTCTTGCTGAAACCCCTTCCCCAGTGGGTAGCTCAGCCACTTACCTATGTAGAATTCTTATAATCTTATAGGGCCACATAATAACAAAATAACATTTGATCCACAAAATAGTACTTGATCCACATTCAAGTTGGCTAATATTTGGGAAAGCACAAGTCAGCATAATAATCTTAAGCTACCCAGAATCTTTTATGTATTTATTTGTATTTTTTTGAGACAGGGTCTCACTTTGTTGCCCACGCTGAAGTACAGTTGCGCAGTCACTGTAACCTTGAACTCCTGGTCTCAAGCGATTCTCCTGCCTCAGCCTCCCAAGTAGCTAGAACTACAAGGCACACTCCATCATTTCCAGCTAATTTTTAAAGTTTTTGTAGAGACAGGTCTCACTATATTGTCCAGGCAGGTCTCAAACACCTGGCTTCAAGTGATCCTTCCACCTTGGCCTCCCAAAATGCTGGAATTATAGGCATGAGCCACTGCACTGGCCCACTACACAGAATCTCAACCTATGTTGCCTATTATTAAAATGTGGAGGCAGCATGGGTCAGTCCGGGCTGGAGAAGATATAAAGGTTTGGAATGGGAAAAACCTGGATTAGGAAATGAGGGCTCCAGCCAAGGGCCAGTGAAGAATTAAAGCCTCCTGTAAAGAGCCATTTGAGTGAGCCTACAGCCGTGTGAGTGTGCCTGGAGGCAGACCCTACAGTACCAGTCAAACCTTCAGATGACTTAAGCTCCAACTCATGAGAGACCCTGAGCTAGAACCACCCTAGTTCACTTCCAGATCCCTAAGATCCAGAAACTGGGAGATAATAAATGTTTGCCATTTAAGCCACAAAGTTTGGATCAATTTGTTACATAGTAATAACTGTGACACACACACACACACACACACACACGCATGCATACTACATACACAAGTGTGTGTATCAACTAATTCTATCTGTGTGAATATGTGAAATAAAACTGAATTACATTCTTATATTTCACTCAGCCTTCTGCAGATTAATCTGGTTTTTTCCTTTTTTTTTTTTTTTTTTTTGAGTCTCATTCTGTCACCCAGGCTGGAGTGCAGTGGTGCCATCTTGGCTCACTGCAGCCTCCACTTACTGGGTTCAAGAGATTGTCCTGCCTCAGCCTCCCAAGTAGACAGGTGTCCACCAGTATGCCGGCTAAGTTTTGTATTTTTGTAGAGACAGTTTCACCATGTTGGCCAGGCTGGTCTTGAACTCCTGACCTTAGGTGACCTGCCTGCCTTGGCCACCCAAAGTGCTGGGATTACAGGCGTGAGCCACTGCACCTTGCCTAATTAATCTTAAATGGAAGTTTTTTGCCTCCGGAAGTAGAGGTGACAAGACATTTCAAAGGGCTGTGGCAAAAATAGTTCAGATGCTTGATGAAATATGTTTTCAATATATTACTGAGCTCACAAAGAGTAAGAGGAATATCCAACAGCCCTCAATCACCCGATTCTTTGCTATTCTCTCAATGAACGAATTCACTGAGATGAATAGTGAGTAGCCAGCAAACATAAAAGGTTGAGCAGCCCTGAGCACAAATTTCATGACAATGTTGCCTTTGAGAGAAACAGCTCTGAGCAAGACTCAGAGTAGGAAGGTAGAACCTGAGACTTCTGCAGGGTTTGTACCTCTTTCAGGGGAACAGAGTGGTCTCAGGAGGTCGTCCCCGAGCTCCTGGAAGACGTTAGCACAAAGCTTCTCAGGCTAGAGAATAAAAGAGGTGCTCAAAGTGAAAGATTGCCGTAATGCACAAAGATATGAGTCACTGTGAGAAAGAGTCACAGAAACAGCAAAATGCATTTGACCTTCAGGTAATTCAGACACAGGAATTGTCAGACATAGAATGTTAAGTAACCATGTATGAAATGTTTGAAGAAATAAAATCAGAATCAGAAATATGAGCAGACAACCAAACATGATAAAACAATTAGATTTATCTGGGGAAAAAAACCTAACTTTTAGAAACAAATGATGTAATATAGTTATTTAAATAAACAATGGATTGCTGATCAGCAGATTAGAACTCAGGGAATTACAGAGCTGGAAGATCATTTTGAAGAAATGACTACAGACGGAGGATGAAAAAGTTTAATATAGGGTAAAAAGATAAAGCTTAGTATCAGAGTTTTAAGATTTTTAAATTTATATGTAAGAGTTAGACCTAGCCGGGTGCGGTGGCTCAAGCCTGTAATCCCAGCACTATGGGAGGCCGAGGCAGGTGGATCACGAGGTCAAGAGACTGAGACCATCCTGGTCAACATGGTGAAACCCCGTCTCTACTCAAAATACAAAAAATTAGCTGGGCATGGTGGCACGTGCCTGTAATCCCAGCTACTCAGGAGGCTGAGGCAGGAGAATTGCCTGAACCCAGGAGGCGGAGATTGCGGTGAGCCGAGATCGCGCCATTGCACTCCAGCCTGGGTAACAAGAGCGAAACTCCGTCTCAAAAAAAAAAAAAAAAAAAAAGAGTTAGACCTAAAATGGTAAGTTGGAGCATTAAAGAATATACACTTTTCTCAAACACACATCAATCCTTTAAAAAATCAACCATGGACAGTTTAAAAGCAAGTTCCAACAACCTTCAAACTATTTGTATCAACAAATTGTATTCTCTCACTACAAAGCAATTAAGAATCAGCAACAAAAAGATAAATTAAAAATACGTATTTGAAAGGATTTAAAAGTAAAAATCTTCAGGTATCAGAATCACCTGAGGAGTTGAATAAAACTATCGATGCTTAAGCCCCATATCAGAGCTATTGAGTCTGAATCTTTAGGGATAGAACCCTAGCTTGTACATTAAAAAAAAAAAATGGCATCGATACATTTGATACACACCCAGGTTTGGCCCTTCCTAACTTCATTAACCAATTAATTTGGATCATTATCTCAATAATCTTTTCCATTGACTTTTAATCCTTTCTTGACTATAATATGAATTTCTGCATGCGCATGCAGGCACGCACACACACACGCTCTTAATTGCTTTCCCAGGTGCTGGCACACTCCCCCTTTTATAGGTGGAAGATGGGCTGATGGGCACAGCAGGCATCCACCTACTGTGGCTCTTTCAGCTGAAACAGGATATCATCTTTTGCCTTTACTGCTCAGTTCTTTGCAAATCTGAACCAACGAAGGGTGTAAAGGATGTCAGCAATCAGCATGTTCTGCTCCCAGTGTTCTTCCCATCTGTATGCCCACCTGTAGAGCTGTTGTGAAAACTGACTCTTAGGAATGCATTGGTGCAAACTCCTGTCCTGCTTTATTTTCTGAAATGCTTCTTAGAAGGCTCTGGTGGTTCTCAAGTGGAATTAGAAATGAAGATCCCAACAAAAGACAGGGAACTGATGGTCAAATGGACATCCAGCCATTTATAAAGCAGGATTGACATGGTAGGGGTATGGCACTGACACACAGAGGAAGTTTCTGATTAGGCTAGTGTGGGAAGGCTGAGGTCAAGGTAATCCAGCATCAGGTTTTCTCTGATTCAGAAGGAAAGAAGCCAAAGGCCTCATGTTTAGTTTCCTCTCCAGCAGATTCGCCTTGTAGCTAGTGAAAATTCCTCCAAAATTCTGGCAGTAGTTTGACTCGTAGTCTTGGTTCTCATTCTCCTAAGTTTTGGTCTTTTTCTTTTGCAGGCAATGGTATCAGGGATTAGTTAACTTGATCACATTTTAACCCAAGAGAAAAAGACCTTGAGGGCCATCTGTCTGATTAAAAATTATGAACAAAGGAACATAAATAACATTTTAATTAATACTTCTCCCATTCCTCTCATTTATACTTTTTTATTACGTTAAAATCTACATAATAAAATTGGGTTTCAAAATGTTGACAAAATACGAGTATATAGATATCACCTTGCTATTTTGGAAATATATTGGATATGGTAGCTATTACTTTAATATTATTATATATGTTTATATATAGAATCGCATATAAAGTTTTTCTCACTCTTTCCTACAGAATTGGTGATGTGGGACTAAGGCAATTTCTTGATGGTCCTGCAAGCATAAGGATAAGAGAGCTAAATTTAAGCAACTGTGTGCAGCTAAGCGATGTCTCTGTTATGAAACTATCTGAACGGTATGATAAAACAGTCTTTTACATTGTATCATTAGTAATTGTATAATTGTATATTTGATAATAGGAGAGATGAGACACCTAAAAGCAGAGATTTCATGATATTTGGGGGAACATCAGAGATGCCCAAAAACTGATTATTCAGTGAAATTATATAAAAGACATCAAAGTCCTAGATTGAACCAATTTTTATATTATATTATTATATTTAAATTACATCTGAGATGGAATCTTTCATGAAATAATGACTATCTAGATATGGGTGGCTTCTGTACTTTTTCAAGATTATCTCTGAGTAAACCTTTAGCATTTCCCAAGGGGTGTTCTGGCTGGTTAGTTTATTCTTGACTCCCCTCTTGTCAAAGGTCTTGTACGATTCCTGTAGCAGACTTGTAAGGGATAAGTAGGGAACTTAACTTGCACTTTTAGTGGTCATTCATTGTGGTACTTACATGATAGTTTTTGTTATGTATGTGATATATTTTTTCCTTATTAGAAATTGTAATATGAAACTACAGAAAGTCATATAATAATCTACTGCCCTTTCATCCAACTTCATAATGCCAAATTACTTTCTACTTTGAGTCTTAAAATTTTTGTTGAGTAAAAGAAAATCCTTGCTTCAATACCATTTGTTTTTCCGAGATAGTTTTTGTATGAAGAAATTACTGACAATATGATTGACAGCTAAAATTAATTCATGCTGCTTTCTTTCAGCTGCCCTAATTTAAACTACTTGAGTTTACGAAATTGTGAACATTTGACTGCCCAAGGAATTGCATATATTGTAAACATCTTTTCGTTAGTATCAATAGATCTCTCTGGAACAGATATCTCTAATGAGGTAAAAAAAAAATTCAAAGCAGTACAATGACTTTTATTGTTTCTGTAATACAATTATTTGCTATTTTGTAAACAATGGCGAGAACAATGATATGTTTTATTTCTTATTCTATTATAAAAATTAAATTTAGAGTTATTGTTTCTAGAAGGTGATAGAAAAGTTTCTTTGTGAATCAGTAGTCATGTTTCTCTGTTTAGAAATTAACAAAATACAGTATTTTGAGGAAAGTCATGACAGATAAGAGTATGTCAGGATAATTTGAAATTTGTTTCATTATAGAAGTTTGGTCAATGTGGAAATAATATGTTAGATATCTTAACTATATTTTTCTTATGGACATTTTATAAGACTACCTGAATGCTTTGAGATCTAAGTCTTTAATTCAAGAATGAAGTCTAGAAATGCCCTCAACAAATCTACAAAAGGATATATTTTAAAGAACTCATTTCCTTAAATAAGTTCCTTAAACAAGGAAGGAACAAGGAAGAGACATAAAGGAAGCTGCTGATTCTATTCATCAGGGTTGAAACTCAGGCCACATCTATCTTACCCCTCTGGGACTGCCCCATTTACTAATCAAAAGGAGGATAACCCTGAGAGATTTGCCATGCTTCTGAAAGAATTAAATGGGCAATAGTTATATAAGGAATATATGGACTTCTCTTGAAAATCATGCATTGGGAGGAATCTAGGAAGACCATATGGGAAGTAAGGATCCCTCCATTTTCTTGCTAAATCCGTATTCATCCCTGAAGACTTAGATCAAATATCACCTGTCTGTGAGGGCCTTCTCTGAGAGGCCCTACCTTGTGGGCAAGCACTGGAATTTCTCTGTGTGCATCTCCAGCCCCAGTGCATCCTTTAACATGAACTGTTTCTCTCCATTTCTCACTGCATTACAGACATCTGTGTTATGTGTTCATCCTTCTCAACATTCAGTGGGCTCTTTTAAATGAAGAACTAGATCTGTCGTTGTTCTAGGTTCTTTTCTTTTTTTATTTATGAATGAACCTGGTTTCAGCCTCCGTTCTGCTAGATGATCTCTTCCCTTCCATATCACTCACATGTGATACGAGAGTGTGAGCAGGGAGCACTAACATGGAGTCATCTCATTATGGTGGGGTCAGTGTCTGGTCTTCTCAATGCTGTCTTCTCTCTACCTGGAATTCACTGAGATGTGTGAGGGCCCATTTGGTAATTATTTTCCTGTCCAGGTGGATCCTTCATGCCTCTTTCTTGTTCAGACTCCAAAGCCCCTTCAAGTCTTCAGGCTTCCCTGTCATGCCTGTTTTGCTCTGGATTCCTCTGGCTCTTTCTGGGTCATGGAGATCCTGTGAGGCTGTCTTAGGTCCACAGTCCTAGTCACCTGCTGCAGAAATTTTCATGCTCCCGCATCATCGATGTGTTTGCCCCCAAACCCATGACTCACCCTCCCCTTGCTCTGCTAGAGAGTGACTCATACCAGTCAGCTAGATTCCAGGTTAGGGTTGGTGCTTGTGAGACATTTGCGAATGATTAAAGGGCCCGTAGAAAGGACAGTCCAGTGTTTTCCTCTACCTTTCTTTGCATCATCATCATCATCAGCTGCATTTCCTTAGTGGTCTACTCCCCTGTGAACCACAGGCCTGCTGTGGTTCCAGCTTCCCTGAATGACCTTGGCTCCTGGGCTTCAATAACATCGTATCTTCCCATTGTCCTTCCAGTATAGGGACAATAGTGGCTTCCTACTGCTGCTGGTCTCTAGATTTTGTCACTGTCCCATTTGGCTTCTCAATTTCTCTACCTCCCATGTAGCCACTCCCCTATTAAAATTAAATATCCTCAGTTTTGAATGCTCAGGGTTGTTTCTGCTTTTCCCATTGACTCTTAACTGATACAATGATGGACACAGGAACATTCCATCTTATTGCTTTTATCAACCCTATTGGGAAAGGTGGAATCGGTTCCCATCCACTTAGGTCCCTAAGCCTACCTGTGGGTTCCAACTTTCTCTCTAGCTGGATAGAGACTGAGAAGGTCTATAACAGACCCCCATATGGTGAATTTCTCAAGGTTTGCTTCCCTCTGGCTCTTCCCTCCCCTCCCCTCCTCTTTTCCCCTGCCCTCTCCTTTCCTCCTCTCCCTCTTGTCTTCTTCCCCTCCACCTCATCTCTGCCCTCTTCTCATATTTGCTCCTCTCCTTTTGACATAGATTCTTTTCCTTATCTGGGGGTGGAAAAAATGTTCCAACCGATTACATGGTTTTGAAAAATGTTATCCCCCAAGTCTTTCAGGGCTTGGGCTTTTGAAGTTTAAAGGCCCAGGATTTTCCTCCTGTGTTCTTTTGTGAGAACCTTTCCCTGACACATAGGAAGAGAATGGCCAGCTGTTGTCTGAAGGGTCACAGAGTGACAAGAACTAGAGAATCATAGGACATTATAAAACACATCAAAATATAATTCCCCACAGCACTTACCACAAGCCTGAAGTGCCTGGGGAATATTTGCTGACTGAATGGAGTAAAGGTTAAAATGGTTCATTTAGTTTTTAGCATTTGGGGAAAGCTCAGGTTTTATTTTTGAAGACTATATATTAAAATTTTATCCATAGAGACCAAGTTAAAAACATAGGAATATAGGCCAGGCATGATGGCTTACGCCTGTAATCCCAGTACTTTGGGAAGCTGAGTCAGACAGGTCACTTGAACCCAAGAATTTGAGACCAGCCTGGGTAACATCATGAAACCTCATTCTCTACAAAACATACAAAAATTAGCTGGGTGTAGTTATGTGTACCTATAGTCCCAGCTACTCAGGAGGCTGAGAGGTGGGAGTATAGCTTGAGCCCAGGAGGTCAAGGCTGCAGTGAGCCATGATTTTACTGCTGCACTCTGGCCTGGGAAACCTGGGCAACACAGCAAGATCCTGTCTCAAGAAAATAAAAAACAACTTAGGAGTATAGCCTCAAGTTCTAGTCTCCATTTTTATTTTCTTCTGAGGCATATATGTAATTTAAGAGAATTGTAAATGGACACATATTGGGAAGTATGCTAATTGTTTTCTGCTAAAAGATTGAAAAGTAAGTCTTCTGTTGTTTTCTTCCTCCAAGTCAGTTAAACTCTGATCTAAAAGGCAAATGATTGACAATTACAGTGCTACAACAGCTGTGGAAGCTAACCTCAAACAGTCATATTTTAATATGAGTCAGCCCGGATGTCAGCTTGGGCAGCTAAACACCAGCCTGGATTATAGGTGTGAGGAAGTGAAAATTGGACTACAGATGTAACATTCAGGATTTAAACTCTGGGATGTTACAGATGCCCACCAAAGATCGGTAGTGACCAGTTATGCCGTTTTGGGGAAAATTCCTCATGTTTTCTAATAATTAATGTTCATTCTAAATTCTTAATGGTGAATTTTCGGTAAGAATCACACTACTCATTTAGTTAACAAGTATTTATTCTGACTACATTGTGCTCAGTGCTGGGAATATTGGAATGAACAAAACAGACATGATTCCTCCTCCTAGTACTTACGTTCTAGTGGGAAGACAGGAATGGGGCAAGTGGTTATAAAGTATGATGAGTGTGGGAAACAGAGAGGGGAAACCTAACCTGGCTCTAAAATTCATTTCCCAGCGAAGAAAGGGTGTTCTGTGAGCCAAGGAAACAGCCTGCACAAAGGCATAGAGGTTTAAAAGTGCGCGATATCAGGAAACCGACACATTTGCGTATGGCTTGTTGACGAGAGTATGGTGAGATGATGTTTGAGAGATAGGCAGGGGTCAGGTCATTGAGGGCCCAGGGCCACATTAAGGAATTTGATCTCTGCTCTTCGGGCAATGGAACGACATTCAGTGTTGTCAGAACAGTAACATGGTCAGATTTATATTCTGAAAAGGTCACTCTGTCTGCTAGACAGACATGGGAATCATAGATACATAGTGACTAATGATAAAGCAGTCATCCAGGTGAGAAGTTATGAACGTCTACATTAGGGAGATGGCAGTAAGCATGTAGCAAAGTCAGCACATTTGGGAGACACTGAGGTAGAAGAAACAGCAGGAGATAGAGCTCGACTGAATGTAGGTTAAGGAAGAGAGGAAGCAAATCAAGGATGGCACCAGATTTCTGGCTTAAGCATCTGGATAAAGGATGGTGTGCCTTCCTAAGCTGTGTCCCTTACACAGTCAGGGAGCAGCTTTGCTGCAGGTTGGGAAAATGAACATGTTTAATTTGAGTCACCTGCACGACAGCTTTATAGAGATGTAGATCAGGACACTAATTGAAATTCACACCTCAGAGATAGAAGAGCTCTTTGGGGTTAGAGAGACTAAAGGGACATTGTGTTCTGAAAATCTTGAAAACTCATGAAGAGGTTGATCAACAAAGACCAAAATGCAGACATTTAGAAATCCAGAAAGGTGTTTATTGGAGAGAGCTAACTTAAATGGGGGAAGCAAAAAGGAGAACACAGTTATATCAAGATTTGTGTTTCTTATAATAATCTTACTCTCATTTATTCCTTTTGTGGAAAATAGTGAATAATTTATTGTATCATCCACGAATAAAAGTTGTTTAGGAAATTACCTACCAAGTACATATTAAGGAAAGAGGAAAGATGTCAATTAGCCTCTTCTAATATAGCAGGATAGGGTTTCTAAGTGAGAGAAATAGTTTACTAATGTAATAATATCTTAAGATATCTTCAGAAATCTTTACTCTCCTACAGCTTTTCAAAATGTTCATTTAAATGGGCCATTATTCATTCCCTTCCTACTCCAGAGGATTATTTGAATATGAGTTTATATCTCCATGTATGTGGGCAAATGTTTCCTGCTTGTTAATCAGATTATCATTTTACTAAAGAGTACAGGATCCATGGTGAGGGCAGTTCAGTCTGTTACTTAAGTTGCCTTAGTCACCGCCATATTTGTTGTTTAAAGGAAAAGTGAGTCAGAGCAGTGTCCCAGACAGTGTGCTTAGACAGTGGTTTAAGAAGACTCTTTCATTTGCTTGATTT